GCTAAATCTGGATTTTATACGATTATAATAAAAAAAAAGAAAAACCCTGAAATCTACTAGATAATTGAACACATGGTCTGAGTTCCAATTTCCTTACGATCTATTTCTCCCTTTTCTAGTTTTCAGTTGCAAGCGATTGTGTTCAATAGACTCGATTTTAATTAAATTCGGCCGATTATTGAGTCATTATTTGCCTTTTTGTCTCCTTTTGCAGAGAAAGTAATGAGAGCTTTTTAACTTCTTTCCATATAATTGCTCTAATTTTATTGTTGTCAATGAGGAAATTACACTTAAGTTATTAAAAATGACTCTTTTTTTGTCATCGCTCATCACATTAATTGTATTTTTATAACTGCTTTAAATAAACGATGCTAAATAGCAGCGGTGTCGGTGTTTGTTGCGGTAAAGGAAGAAAAAAACTCTCTTTGTGAAGTTTGCTTGATTTTCAGCTACAAGAAAACACAATTCAAAGCAGTCCAAGTAATTTAGATAACGCTTGAGCCAATTTAGAACAGTAAAACAAAAACCAATCCAACCCAATTTTACACCCCGTCAGCCACTCTTTGGACAAGAAGTCGGACTGAAGCGAGTGAAATCTTGTCAGCGTCGGTGTTCAGGCTGAGTGCAGTAATGGCACCAAAGAGCCGGGTCGTTGGAAAACTTTTTGACGGCTTTACTTATTTGACAAAAGGTGCTTTTTCTTTTTGTTTTGTTGGTGGGTCCTTCAGCCTCCACATTTAAGCTGCATCACGGCGACAGGTGGACGGTAGAGACGTGGCAAAGGTCACTGAAGTGCATGCATTAGAGTGCATTGTGTTTACAGCCGTGGCAGCCCGGTGACGGCGCTGCAGCTTTTTGTTTCACATGACAGAGTATTACGTCTGGCTGGATTCTCAGGCGTCCAGGTTATGTAGAACCTCTTCCAGTTCTACTGAAGCCCACTGGATTAGCCTGGCTCATACCTGAAGCTAATCGCTGTAACAGGAGGCAAACTTTAGTTTTTTTTGGTGGAAAGAAGTGTTGAAACTCTAACTTACCAAGCAGGTAAACGACAACAGGTTAACAGTTTCAGGGGGTAAATAATGATGTGAAAAACCAAAACCATCAGCAGCTAAGTGTGTTTGTGTCAGCTGTTTGTCAGGAGGGAGGGACGACTCAGCATTTCTACGACCCGAGGCCATAGACGGTGAATAAAGACGGACGTAGCAGGTATTCCCCTTTGTGATGGGAAACAACAACAACAACAACAACAACAACAACAACAACAACAACAACAACAACAACAACAACAACAACAACCTTTGAGCATGAAAACAGCCAGCTTCAGGATCGGACAAAAGGCCAGACCTCCTTCCTTCTTTCTGTAAATTAGCCATTTTGCTCACCTCCCAACATGAGAAAGTTCTACCATATCAAGCTCCACCGCTCCACCAGAACTCCTCAAGACTATTGTGACGTACGGCTTGATGCAGCATCAGTTGTACTGGACCATGAGCAAGAAGGTCAAGCTCTCCAGTCGACTTATGTTCTAACTATGATCAAGAGCTCCAGGTGTTGACTGGAAGAACGACGTCACAGATACAAGCAGCTGAAACGAGTTTCCTCCAGAGCGTGGCCGGGCTCAGAGACGAGGCGCTCGGACATCTGGAGGAGCTCGGACTAAAGCAGCTGCTCTGTGGAGTCACAAGGATCCAGCTGAGGCAGTTCCTGATTGAAATGACTCGTGGGTAATTTTCTTTGGAGGTTTTCCAGACACATCCAACGAGGATGAGACCTTGAGGTGAACCCAGACCTCACTGGAGGGATTCTCTCATCTGGCCTGAGAACATCTTGGGATCCCCCAGGAGGAACCGGAAACCGAAGAGAGGGACGTCTGGAACGACCAGGAACGGATGGAACTTGATGCTTTTTAAATCGGGGTGCACAGGAGGCCGAGTTTTGGAGGCAACGCCAAGCGACCTTCAATGGTGCTGAACTTTAAAGCTGTGAAAGCTTTTCGATCTGCCACTTGCCCGAGGCGTGAAGCACCTCTGTACGTTCTCCTCATGTTCCTTCCTGGTGGTGAAGAGCTGAACTGACTCCTGCTGTAGCGAGACGAGGGTTTGAATAAGATATTTGTGACGATGTGGAGGACAGGAACACACTGACTTCAGATCATTATCTCTGGTAATGTGGCCGACTACGATCGTATTGGCAGCCAAACCGAAGATTGTCAGAACGAGTTCTCTCACTGAGAACCGTCTCACAGGCCCGGCCTCGTGTCTGAGCGCTCACACTAATTATTTTTGCTCTGAATATCTCCCCTCTGGTTAGCCTAATTTTAAATCATTGCTGTGCTGATGTTGCACAGCTGTAGCTCGCAGTTAACGGAGGAGATTGATTTCATTTTGCCACAGCAGTGCAGCGCCGTAACCAAAACCAGGGGAATGCTGGTTTATTCAGAACGCTGTAAATGTTAAACGTGAGCAAACAGAACCACATGTTTCAGTGGTTCTTCATTAGCTGCCCGTTTGTTTCAGAAAGGATTCTGACATTTCATTGATTGCTTTCAAGACCAGGCGCTGCCTAAAAAGGGTTGTTGTCCTGAACACTTAATCCCTCGTGAGCCGTTGCTCTACCTCGGGTTGTTCAGCTGGAACAATTTCGGTACCGCGGTTTAACTAGGAACTGGGTCACAAGTGCCATCTCAGCAGCAGCAGCAGGCAGCCCGAGGATATCAGCCAATCAACTGCTCAGTTTTCAAGGTTTATCGGCAATGATGCTGCGACAGTAAACTTCACACAGTGGATGGAGGTGAAGGCTTGAGGGCAGCAAACATCATTTCCTCCGTCTCATCAGTGGACCCCAAATGAAGGACGGAGGAGAGGAGCTGAACACCTGTGTGTGATAATGAATGCAGAGGTGGGAGAAGCCTGTAGAAATACTTCAGCATTATTTAGCTGTCAGCAGTTCTCTTCTAAACATAATGTACTTAAGCTAATAACACACAATCGGATGTGTTAAATCTTTACAGAAGGCACACTTTTCCAGTGCTGGTGGCAAAAAGTAAAAACATTTGGGTTTAATAACCGGCAGAACCGACATTTCAGGGAGCTGCAAATCTGATCTGCACAATCTTCAGCAATCTCCCCATCATCGCCGTGAGCTCCCCGAGCTGGGAGGCAGCATGATGCTTCCACCACCATACTTCACCTCTGATCTGTTTTAGGCCACATGTAGCTGCTGCATGTTCCCAGATAGCTCCACCTGAGTTCCATCAGCTCACAGAACATTACCAAGATACTCTTTAAAAACCTTCAGACGTGCAGCACATTGTGAGTTTTTTATTTCAAAGAGCTGCTTCTATGACATCCTGCCGTGGACACTGTGTCTGTTCAGTGACTTGCAGATAGTTTAGAAATACACAGAAGCAGCTTCAGGAATGTAAACCAGCTCTGATGATTCCTTTAAAGCCAATAACTGTTGCTTTGGATTTCTCCTTTATGAGATGTGATCGAAAGTAGCCCCCTTGTGCAGGAGTACACTGCTCCCAGCTCTCCTGCCGTGACCCGAACACTACATGGAAGTCCAATTCTGTAAACGCATCAAGGACCATAATGACCCTTCAACTTGAATTTGCTTGTTTTGGAAGTAGGCCAGGTGGGAGAAGGATGGTTGTGTTGGTGTTCGTGGTGGAGCACTCCATGTTGTCCATGTGCCACCGCTCAGGTTGTTTGAATTTCCTCTACGACGCCTCAGGATGTTGGAGTAGAACTTAAAACTGACACCTGGATGACAAGTAGGTCTCGTAGAATATGCCGTTCTCCTGATACTTCCATTGAAGGCTGTTGGTTGGAATTATAGTCATAGATCCACCTCTCATCATTAGTGATGATCCCAGACGTGAAGATTGGATCGTCCCTCGTTTGGGATGGGGGATCCTCACATTGTGGTTCTGCAGGTCTCTGGTAACATCACACATGCACCCCTGCAGGTGGTCACACTAACCAAGTTGTGGATTACTCGGATTCCCGACCATCCCTCACCACTCTGAGGCGAAACAGGAGCAAAATCGGAGCTCATACTCAGACTGCAACGGGACAGGGATTCAATCTCAGCTTAAGGATTTACGACAACCAGCAGCCGGAGTTAACAAATGAAATGGGAAAGCTTAAAGCAGATGTTGACGACAGAAAAGCAAACTGAGGCGAGTCTGACATTTCCCAGACGTCGCTGACAAATGTGGAAAAGGAGCCGGTCTTTACAAAGTGTTGATCTACAACAACAAACATCCCCGACGAGGGATCAATAACGATCATCGCATCTTGTTTTATGCACAAATCTGCCACCTGTGGTTGGAGGCAGCACCTGCTCCGTTCTCTGGGTCAAAGTGAGATGAAGCAGCTCAGTAGGAGAGAAGACACAGAAACAATGGAGAGGACACTTAAAGTCCAGTGGGATTAAGAAAACTGCCTCTAGGCTCCACCTCGTAGCTCAACCAGAACCCTGTGTTGTGTTTCTGGAGTGACCACAAATCCATTTATGGACAGTTTGTCTGAGGACTGATGGATATCTAAAGTCTCTTTTTTTAAAGGTGTGGTAGACATTAGCAGATCCTTCTTGTAAAGATTGCAAATGTTTTAAATAAGTCGATAAGCTTCCTGATTGGACGCCAGACTCCAAACAGCTTCCACCATCCTGAGGTTTCATAGCCGTCACTGTGACTCTCCACAAAAACAATCCACCGACTGATTAGTCGTCTATAATTACAACATAGATGAAGCTCTGGACGTATCTTAAGAATAAATTATAGTGAAATGCACCTAATTCCAAAGTTTTTTTTGCCACTTTAATCAAGAAACCCGTCTGTAATCTATTCAGTAATTTGTGTGACATTAGACGTCCTAATTGTGCAGAAGAACTATTTGATTGGTCCAACTCCTAATAGTCACATCTGCATTATGCAAATGTGATTAAACTTCATGCGTCATTTGTTTAATAACTGGATTCAGGGTCACACGTAAATCATAACCATCCCTTTATTGACAGGCTGGATTAGAAAGTTGCATTAAATTCATTACAGTACAAACCAGGAACAGAAAGAGAAGGCCACACACTACGGCTGAGGGACGACGGAGTAGAAAAAAAAATTAAAACTGCTTCTCAAGGAGAAGGGTGAGGTGCTGGAGACAGAAGAGACCCGGGGGAGGAATTAAGAGGGAAGAGAACAGCGGAGGGGAAAGACGACGAGGGAGGAGAAAATAAAATTATCAAAACAAGCCTTCATAGAAGGAGAGAATCGAGACTTCCAGCAGCTTCAGGTGACGCTGCAAAGAACGACTGTCGACACGAGGGGGAGAAAAGTACAGAATGCAAAACAGCACATGGGTTACGTCCACATTTGGTTCTCCCTGCACCACCATGATCGAAGCTCCTCGCTGACTCCCCGGTTCCTCAGGTCGGGTGTGAAACCAGAAACCTTTAGCTTCACTTCCACGAACTTCACTGTGCAGAAGACACAACGCGGCCAAACCGAATCTGTCGATGCTCAAATCAAGACGAAACAATAAAACGGTGGATAAATACAGGGAGCTGAAACAGACGCAGGCCAGAATGAATCTCCAGGAAACCGGAGAACGCCGTTCGCTGACGGGCAGAGGTTTGTCGTGGCTGGAGGGGGGCGGCGCCCTCTTTAGGAGTTGGGAGGCTGGAAGGTCTTGGAGGTGGCGAGCATGGCTCGCACTTTGGCCATCAGATCCTAAAGAGGAGACAGAAAGAGAGAAAGGGAGACGAGATTTAAAGGCACGGTCGAGAACGATTGTTGATCTTTAGCTAGTTAGCAAATTTACACTGTTAGCATGTTTCTTCTCTTTCCCACCAGACGATGGTGTTGGAACAGCGCTGAGCAAATCAAGTTCATTTGTTTGTTTCTCATTTACAAAACCGAGGCTGTGGACAGACACCAGATTCTTTTCTCCAGCAGAATAGACAGGTAGTTTGCTTAATTTGACAATCGCTCACTTTGTCTTTAACGGACAGCAAATCTTCCCTCTTGTGCACCGTCACTGGGTTACAAAGAAAGTAGTACGACAGTAGGACGGGTAAAGCTTCAACCAGATCACTGAGAAGGAACTCGTCAAGGAAAAATGTGGGCGTTGCAACTGCAAGGACGGTAGATTTGTTACACATTGGTGGTTAAAATATAATCACTGACTTTGACAAATATGCTAATTTGGTAGCGCCTGCGTAGCCAGGTGAGCTATTGGGGCATTTTCATTTCAGATTTTGCTTCGCCACCATTTCATCCCAGTCAGTGATATTATTTCAACCACAGTTATCGAACAAATCTGCTGTCTTGGCAGTTGCAACGCCCACATTCATGGACAGGAGCTATTAGATGGGTTGACTCCGACCCATAGCATGATTTGCTGCATGTAAGTCCCCGTCTCTCCTCCTCATCTTTCTGGTCTCTCCTTGGCTTGGTTCCATTAAACCAGGCGTCATGTGACCACACGGTGGCGTAAGAGGCCAAATCATCAGTGGCTGTAATTAGGAAGGCAGGAAACAAAACCAAATGTTTGCTAACCGATAAAAGATTTAAACTAAATTTGGCCACACAAAAGAGAAGAACGGAGCACCGTACTCAGGAACTGTTTTCAGCTGATCGGTCATGCGAGTGAAATGTCAGAAAGTTGTTTTGAAGGTTATTTTTTTGGCGAATATTTCCATTTGCGTGAACTTTTTCTGGTGCAATACTTCAAAACAGACATAAATACGTCACAGACACACTGCTACTGTGTTGTTGAACAGTCGTGCTGCATTTTGCACAAAGCCAATAAACGTCTTCACTCGGCTTTAGTTTGACTTTAGAACATCTACTAGTTGCTCTGAATCGTTCTGGAACCAGCAGCTGCACCTGGACGACGTGAACACACGACTATGAGCGACCTGACCAGCGGGATTAGCTCGACGCGTTTATGTTCTCGTCACAGCGCGTTACGGCTCCTTTATGAGGAATAATTCTGTCTATAATTAATCAGCCAACTACTCCCCGAGGCGTGAAGGAGTCGCTGGTAATGCCGTCCCCACCGGGAATCAACCACGCAGCCTCCAGACACCTTAAGCTCACTGATTTGTTTTAGCTCGCTTTAGCTTGCGGCGCGCATGAATGAGTCTCGGCCTCTAATTTATTTGAATGGCGCAAGTCCATCAGCGCGGGGCTGCCAATTAAGAAGGGTTTGGGGAAATTAAAAAAAAGAAAACTACAAGTAGACGAACCAGGCTTTTTTTTTTCAGGAACAGAAGACCATCTAAAGTGCTCAAAATTACACATATTAGAAAAAAACAGGAACCTACAGGCTCCTAATCCTTAATTCCTGCTGCCATGTAAACAGGTCGATGATAGGAGGAATCCATAATTCGTAGAAAGCTGCAGTTGCAAAAAAAAAAGTGGGTGTTGAAAGATAAGCAGAGGAATAGAAGAGAATTCAGCGTGGGCGGCTGCCAAAGTGCAGTTTTTTAGGTTTTTTTTTTTTTCGCTTTTCTTCCCCCACGCTCTTCAGGTGGGAATGTAAATTCTGCTGACCAGGGGGCAAACGCTTGCATTGCAGAAAAGGAAGTGTTAATTTGCATCGCATCCCACGAGTGATTCACACACGCATGGACAAATATCCGCCCTCCAGCTCTCCTGACAGATGAGACAAATTAACAGCTGTAATCACAGAGGGAAGGAGCTGTCACATCACATCGCTCAGACCGACGCTGCTCCGCGAACGTCTGCGCGAGCGCAACCAACAATAGTCCAAATTATCATTAAGGGAGCCGCTAGAAGTACAAGTGAACTCTTGTCAGCTGCAAGTGTCTGAGCGGATAAAAGTGCTGCTAAAATCATATCGCATTACCAGATATGCACTGAAGCTGTCAGACAAACCGGGGTACGTAGTAGTGGAAATGAATGACGCTCACAACAGGGAACAGCACGTGTAAGATGAACCGAAATATTCTGCCGATCCGTTAGCTTAGCACAGTCAGTTAGCATATTAGCATCCTGTGTGGCGCCTTTTGCCAGCAGAGCTTCTGTAATTGGAACAATCCCTTTATTATGAAGCTAATTTCAACCAAACGCCCGACTCTGGAAGTGAAACCTTAATGACTCCGCTGGATGTGAAAGACCAGAGCTAACCGGAGCCCCCCTGAAACTCCATGCTGCACACCAGCATCCCGCTCATGAGGCTTATCCAGGTTTTGATCTTATTCACAATGTGCTCCACAGAGAAATCCAATTATAAATACTCGCATCCCGGTTATTGATCACCGTGTGCTCTCTGCAACTCCAACATCCCTGCAACGGTTAGCTTCACATTATTAGCTTAACACCGTGTAGGACGAGGCAGCAGCGGATGAAGACGCACCAACGTGACCCCGAGATCATTACGATGGAGATCAGTGACCCTGAATGAAGAGAACATTTGAGGCGCATGTTTGTACCGACTCTGTGGCAGAAACCCAGGATAAGATGCTCACATACACCAGTGTCCCGCTTTCTTGTCGGCATGCTCGTGTTTCCCAAAAAAATCTGAGATCAGGATCTGGTGTTTACACATAAAAACTAGAAAAACTTCAAAAACCGCATCATAAACTAGATGTTTATGTAAACACACCTCATCATAACAAGCAAAGGAGCATCTGGAGACCACGACTCCTGCACTAAAATTATACATCTATGTCCATCCATCCATCATCTCTACACCTTAATCCTCACTATGGTGGGTGGAGTCTATCCCAGCTGACTCAGGGTGAAGGCAGGTTCACCTGGACAGGTAACCAGTCTATCACAGGGCTACACTTAGAGACAGACAACCAAGCACACTCACATTCACACCTACGGACAATTTAGAATCACCAATTAACCTCAACATCCCGGGTGTCCTCACCGGGACGCCAACCGGCGACCTTCTAGCTGCGAGGCGCTAACGGTGCTAACCACCAAGACACCTTGCAGCCCTAGTTTAGTCGTATAGGAACATAATCTGCATAATCTGTGTATTTTCAGAAACAATTTGTAGCTTTTTTTTTGTTGATGCAACTAATTATCCCTGATATTAGCACTTGTTTCACAAGACTTGGTCATTTTCTAATATTTTTAACCGCTTTAAATGCTGTAGGAGCTGTTTATGTTTGCTGTCGGCAGGTGAGTTAATATGGATTGTTTGAACACATGGTGCATATGCAGAGGGCACAGGTGACAGGAAGAGGAGGGCCCAGGTAGGGGGAGAGCCAACAGTTCTCACCAGACCAGCATCAAACCAGCACAGATACCAGATTCACAGCAGGAGAACCGCTGTGTTTTCGTTTCATGCCTATCATCGAATAAACATCCACTAACGGTGAGTATCCTGACTGGAGGTTCGCTCTGCTCCACCTGTGCAGTAACGGCAATTACAAGACATTTAAATAACTGCCATTACAAATGCTGCAGTCTGTTGTTAGGTGTAGAAGTTAAAGGCTGCACATCTCCACCCCCTCAGCAAGGTAGCCAGCTAGTCTCCGTGTGTTCTGCTGTTTGTTGTTGAGCATAAACCAACCTGCTCTGCGGCTGCAATTACTATTGACTGACATCTTTATAAATCAATGCCACTTTGTTTGGCTGCACTGTAAACAGATATATGTCGTTTTCTTCTTGTTGTATTTCTGACAAAGGAGCGGCTCGATGTGTGCGTTACAACTCCGGGTCCTGCTCTTCCCACAAAGAGCCCAAAGAACCAGCAGTGAGATCTGGAGGATCACAGCTTTACCAAATTGGAAGTCATTGTGAGGACACGACACCTCACTGCTGCTGTTTCACTTTTCAAACGGACTTTTCTTGTTTGGAGTTTATTTTTGTGACAACGCCTTCTTCCCTGCAGCCTTCACAAGTTGGAAGTTTGAGCTGAAACGTCTTCCGAAACACTCTGGTGTGGGAGAACTTATGGAGACCCAGACACGACGACGGCCTGAAAACAGAAACCCGACCAGCCCCATGAGCGATGTGTGCAGACTAAGCCTTACTGAGGACTTCAACGGGGTTAGTCCAGCCTCAAGTTAAAGGAATCGGAAGGTGAAAGGAAGCTGTATCACACACAGGTTTGCTTTTAATCAACACAGCCAGGAGAAGAAACCTCAACACTGTCATATGATGCTCCTCATATGATGCTCCTTAAAGAGCAGCCTGCAGATTGAACTCTTCTTTTAGATTATTGTTTGGAAAGTTAATGCAGATTTTATACGATCTAAGAGACATAAATTCAGATGCACTGCTCTTAAAATACGCTTTCTTTCCTGTTGTATTACGTCACATGAAGGAGTCGTCTCCGTCTCGGTGACTCCGCTTCAGAAAGTTGCTGCAGATGACTTCACACTTCACACTTTTTCATCATGGAGGGTTGTTGTGTTTGCAAAACTCCAGCCTGTCAGGGCATCAAGTCCACGTTTGGTGCCGGAGAGGAGCCCAAAAGATGGTATAAATTTTAAACTAGAGAATTATGTTCCTGTGATAGATGAGATGGAGCTCTGGATGGGATTTCTAAACCGGGATGTTCCTTCTCAGCTGCTTCAGATCTGCGGGAGCAGCGCTTACAGATTGGTTCAGGATTGAGCTTCACACATCAGCTCCTGTTGGTTAAGTAGCAGCACTCAGGCCAAATGTGCTCCAGTTTAGATCCTGATATCTGATTGCAAACTTCTCCTCAAACCACAAAGTATTTCCTCAATGACATCCGT